GATTTTCAGGTTACTTTCTATGTCTCAACCCTCTGGTTTCCTGATACCGCTACAGTCTAAGGATTGCCAGGCAGTGATGGCTCACGCCTTTAATCCTAGCACTCAGGAGCTAGAGGCCATTGGATCTCTCTACGAGTATCAGGACAGCCAGGCCTACACAGAGAAACTCTTGTCTCAAAACAACAACAACAGTAACAACAAGGAAAATGGAAGAAAATTATTCATCCAACATGACTATCTGATTATTATTTCTGTACACCCTGAAAACAAGTGCAAGCATTATCCCCATTTGTATAAGTAACCATGGCTTGCTGAGGGTAGTTTTCTAGGTTGACAGGAGACTCTCTTCAGTACTTACTTGGGCTTTATGGGATCAAACTGTTCTTCTTCCAGCATATCATATATGTAATCATTATAGATTTCAATGAAAGAGATGAGTACACCATAGACACTGTCCTCATCAACTTCTTCTGCTTTGCAGAATTCTTGTATGTCTATCATATGTGCAAACTCTGAATCTGCTTGTCGCCTACAACAAGAAAACAGATTCCCTTACTTCAAAATTTACCCACTATGAGTTAGGATAGAAAGTAGATAACGACTGTCTTGGGTGGTTCTATGTCAACTTGACACAAGCTGGAGTCTTTGGGAAAAGGGGTTCTCACTTGGAGAAAATACGTACACCTCTAAAAAACTGACCAACAGGCAAGTCTGTCTAGCATTTTCTTCATTAATGATTGATGTGTGTAGTACCAACCCTGGGCAGGTGGCCCTGGGTTGTATAGGAAAGTAAGCTGAGCAAGCCATGGGAGCAAACCAGAAAATAGGGCCCTCCATGGCTTCTGCATCAACTCCTGCCTTGAGTTCCTGCCCTGACTTCTCTCAGTGATGGACTGTTACTTGGAAGTGAAAGATAAAATAAATCCCTTCCTCCTCAAGCTGCTTCCCTGTTCAGTAATATATTTTATCACAGCAATAGAAACCTAATTGAGACGATATCAGAGTGAAACCTGAAAAGTCTGACAAAAGCTCTATCACATAAAGTTGAAATCATAAAGCAATGTTATTCAGATTCAAGGTGGGTCAAGGACACCCTAGGTCCTCAAGATGCACAACACAGGAATTCACCTTCCTCCCATTCACAGACATATCCTCCTTAAACTAGATAAAATACCTGAGCAGTCAAGAATGTGCCGCCTCAATTCTGACCTCACAAAAGTCAGTTGTAAGACCAACTTTTCTAATTCGTATTTACCTTCTTGTCCAGATCTACAGAAACTGTAGGACAGAATTCCACCCGCCCTGAGTCACCTACTCACTTGCTAGAGTGGCTCTTTGGAATGGGCATGGCTTCTCTTTTCTGCCATTCCAACAAGGCATCAACTTCAGGCTGTATCTCCATGCTGTTCCTATGATTAGACTTAAACGTCTAAGAGAGAGGCAAGAAAGACTTGAAAATAAGAACTTTACTTAAAGAATAGGAAGATTTAAAAATAGGATGCACATTAACACTTAAACCTGGGGAAAGGGCATGAGACAGCGCTTGATCCTCTGGTTTATACTACCCAAGCGCTGCCAACCACAGGCCCGCAGCCAACGTGCCCACCACCACGTGTAAGAGTCAAAGCAGTCCCATTGTCTTTGTCCTTCCTCAGTACAGCATCCATCCATGTCCCAGTCCTGTGTCTATAGTAACAGTCACAAACCAACGAAATTGTACATACGTAACGTTTTCCTTGAAATGACCCTACGCTCTGAGAGATCATTTGCAAACAATGAGGAAGCAGGCCTCCGGACCCCGGAGACCCCCTCATTGTGTACGTCTTTCCACTTCCTGTCACGCCATACGTAAACAGAAGTCCTACAGTGTAGCAAGTAACAATGAGTTATAGTCTTAAAGTCCCACAGAACATCTCATTGTATTTAAGACACTAAAATTAATAAACCACAAAAAAAGATCATCACTCTAATGAGTTAAAGATGAATTCAATCTCAAGCCAAATATATAAACATCACAAAGTTTCATCACAAGATGAAACAGGGAGTTTAACAAAACTCCAAGAATCATATCATTTTTTCCATGAATGTTGTCCTCTACCAAGGGATTAGCTACCACATCAAAGACTTCTTTCTGGGCGTTATTCGTGCCAAATACCTGCTTAAACATGTATTGGATCTGTGGAGAAACGACATCACCACACAGAATTCCATTAGAGCTATATCTGTTCTATACTTGGAATGTTTCTGTTGTGAACATATATCAAATCCAGACTCGTTAAAAAAAAAAAAAACACAAAAAAAACAAAAAAAAAACCCAAACAAAAACAAGAATGATCATTAGGCTTGGAGCCTTCAGTAGTCAAAATGTATATAAATCACTGCTATCCTAACAATTACCTTCAGTCCTAGCCACTGAG